TTTTTACTGCATATAACTGTATTTACTGTATAACACCCACACGTATTTGTTACCAGATACCTAATTTGATTGTTATAATTAATTACACATCAACGCTACGAAATTTGAATGGCGCCATGACACCCGCGACCGTGCTGCCACCCTGAAAAAGTTGCGTATTTGCCAATTTATTTTGCACGTTACAGACCGAGGGCTAATCACAAAGGTGCAATTATATTCATACCTAAATGCTATTTAACCGAACGATGTTCATTTTAGGACAAATTTATCTATAATATAACTGAAACTATATGTTGTTTATAAGATATTACAATCGATTTCTTTTGCTTTTCAATTAATAAATAAGAAACACCCTCGGTCTGTAGCCCTTGGCTGGAAAGTGGTTTTGCGCAACTTATCAGTGATGCTCAATCGTGCGCTTTGAGTGGCGCCACCGTCGTTGTAATCAAACTGTAGTCGTTAGTTTTAAAACATTTTTTAATAATATTTCTAGGGACAGTGATTTTCCGCGATCGCGGAAAACGGACGGAAAACACGGAAACGGCCATTGGAAACGGAAAAGATGTTTTCAAACGGAAAAACGCGGAAAACGTAATTTAAACATATTACAACATGGAAATTTCAATAAAATCACAAAAAAACAGTCGACAATAGCATTGGTAATGATATATGGTTTACATTCAGACAAGTTTCAGAGCGAAATGACTTACAATTACGACTTTTGGTAGCCCTGTGTTTCGGTGCCGGTTCCGGTTTCAAAGGTTGTACCAAATACTTTTTTTTCATGCAAATATATGTAAACGGAATTTTGCATTTTTGGTGTGTACAATCTCTATGGCAAACGGAATTTCCATTTTTTCTTTACTTTGGAACGGAATTCATGATTTTCCCAAACGGAAAAGGCAATTTTTTGAAACGTAAAATCACTGTCCCTATATTTCTAATGGTGATTGAACCATGAAACTTTTTATGTAGCGTATTTTAACCTAAATTAACTGAAAATAACCCTAGAACCTAGAGTAAACTTTCCTTTTAAGATGTAATGATGCGGTAATTGCGCCTATCACAGATTCTGAACACACACATCGTTTTGAAACGTGCACGGTTGAGGTCTCATTCGCTAGATATAGAACCACTAGCACCACCTATTACCTATATATAAGTTCACCACTTTATGGACACTGAGGGTTGTATATGTAACTGCCAGGATGTTCTATGTTATTGGTGGATCTCTCACGGTTTCATTATTTGAGATATAAGCCCACCATTTTACGTGGTCATCCGAGCCATGATGCTTACACACGAATTAATACACGTGTGCAAAAATGCGTATGCACGTCGCCCCGTGCGCACACTGCGGGTCAAATGTTGAAATGTTTGCGGACTTGCGGTTGATAACATAAAAACGTTGAACATCTGGTAGAAAGGTTGATAGAACGTTGAAAAGTATATCAACTCATCGACCTTTCCATAGTGTAAACCCAGCTATAGATATAGCAGAGTCATAACTGAGGGAGGTGGGGCAGGGAGGAGCTGTTTATTCCCCAACCCTTAGTATTGCTAGCAGTAGAATTAACTGGCCACTGTCAACTGATCAGAACATGAGCCACATATATCACCACCCATGTTTTTATTCGTTCCTGATGTTATATATGCGTAAGTGTGTGTGACATGTTGACCTTTCCTCGACTGACAGGAACTGCACGTCTTGACTCTTCATTGAGGATAGACTGCAACTGAGGCATCTGCATCACACACAGCTCATCGCCTGGTTGATGGGTTGTGGATTTCATCGGTCTCGCTATGTATCAAAGCAGTTCAGGTGCTGTGGAGGCATTTTCACGTTTCTGTGGATCTCCGTTCTGGGTAAATATTACTATCACAAAGTTCCATAGTTTACGTTGTTACTAAATAGTGGCAATAGTACCTAGTGTAGTTGTCCGTGTAAAAATCACAGGGTAATATCCCACTGTTTGCTGCCACATGCATGTATCAAGAGTAGATAATAACACAATGTGTTAATGTGTTAATGTGTTATTATCTACTCTTGATGTATGTATAATCATAGCACTATAGCTGTCATTGCTTTGCATACCATAACAGTGATGGTGATGGTAGTGGTGATTGCAATAGGAGTAATAGCAGTATTGGTTGCAGTAGATGTGGTGGCTGCAGTAGCAGTAGCAGTAGCAGCAACAGCAATAGCAGCAGCAATAACAATGGTGACTGTAGCAGTAGTAGCAGTATTAGGAGTAGTGGTAGTGGTAGTGGTAGTGGTAGTGGTAGTGGTAGTGGTAGTGGTAGTGGAAACAAGACCAGAAAGGTAATCATTTTTGTGTGACTTCTCAGGATGAATTTTTGACAGTGAACACAACATCCCCCGATCTTACCGTCTGCTTTGAGAAGACGGTACTTGTTTGGCTGCCATGTGCTTTTCTATGGTGCTTTACAGCACCTAGCATTCTACTACTTCATTTCTCTAGCAAGGATAGTCCACCTCTTCAACATTCATGGCTCACAAACTGCAAACAGGTATAGCATGAATGCTTTTCAATGAGGCATGATGGTTTGCAATCTACCAGGCTACAGTTTCAAAATACTTTGTGAAATATATTTGTGTGAACGTATTAAAATATTTGTTGTATTCTACGAGGCTGCTTTAACCTAATAAAATTACATTTTGCATCATATATGTATTTGTTTAATAATAATATTAAATGGGCTATTATGTGGTCAAGTGACAGAAGGATTCCTCGTTGTTTTCAGCTTTTTAGTTCATTGCTGTTCCTGGTGGCCATGGCCGATTTCGCACACAGTATATACCAATGGCAACACGATGGCCTTTACATAGCAAATGTTGACTTTGTCATGCCTGGTCTGTTAGCTGCATCAATGGTAAGCATGCGATAGGAATGTTAAGAAAATATTCATTGTAGATCTACTCGGTCTAGTCTAGCACAAGTTATCGTAGACCTTTTAATCTATATGTAAAGAGCAGAGACTCAAGTGCAACCAGTTCATGCAAACAGAGAAAATTGTTAATGAAACATGAGATATTTTCCCTTATTGAAAGTGTTTGTGCGTGTGCGTGCGTGCGTGCGTACGTACGTGCGTGTCTGCATTTATGCATGCGTGTGTGCATGTGTGCGTGTGTACGTCTATATTGTTTTACTTTATATATAGCTGTCATTATTTATATGATGACAATAAAGTAATTTTAAAATTTCGTTTAGAATAGCACACATATATTTATATTGTACATTGAGGAGCATGGGATTGATGTGTGTGATATTGTAGGTGCTGCACATGGTTGTGACAGAGCAGGAGAGGTTGAGAGGCATCAGAAGTAGCGGAGTTCCATTCATCTTCTTCATGCTACTAGCGATACAGGCACTTGCAGCATTACAGACGACAATTAGGAATGTTATTAGAGAGGTGTGTGTTTGTTCTTCCAATTGTCTTGTTCTTATAGCTAGCTGTGTAAAAGAATTGTGTTATTGCTGGAACAAGTTATTACAAGTTATTACAAGTTACACTTTATTACAAGTTGATCATTACCTATGTTACAAAGATTCTGATAAAACCCCTTCCAAAATTACCCAGATCACATTTAATTCAGAAGTGCGTCATTCTGTTTAAAAAGTGGGAGTGGTGAAAGATTTTCACATTGTTTAACTATATTTTCTTGTTTCCACTTTACATATATGACATTTATATTTGTTTTGTCATGTCAGTCAATAAATTCTTAATTTTTAATTATTGAGTGACATTTTTCAAGTAATTGGATACAAATTATTTCACGATATGAAGTCAGTTGTTTAAGAATCTTAATTTTCGTTTCATTTCAGGGAGTTTCTGATGACTTATACAGATTGACTACATCTTGCATATATTCTGGCATAGTCTTTCTTCAGTTCATACTGCATTTCTTTGCTAATCCTGCACAAACCTGCATGCCAGTAGCTGATGGACCGGTAAATCTTTATTTAGCTTCTGCATATAAGGTCAGATCAGTATTTACAGGACAAGTATTGTGTGGATTTTAGAGAAGCTATCAGCTTTATCAGTGTTTGTACAGTGTAGTCAGTGCATGCTCAGTCTGGTATTTGTTGTCAATTCACAGTGGCATATCGTACAATTGGGCCACACATTAATATATTTTCTCGACGATTCACTGATCAACCCAGCAGATTCATGCTGACATCAATTAGTTTTGACAATAAGATGTGGCAATAAATAGCAAAATATCGTTTATCTTTGTATAGCCAATGGGTGCTCACTATTTTGCATGTCGTACTCCTCAGTGAACTTACTTGTACTTCAGAACCCTTGCCCAGAATACAAGCTGGGCTTTATTACCAGGCTCTTCTTCTGGTGGTACATGAGGTAAGTTCCCATTATCTACCTAAGATGCTATCATTCGCATCATTTTATTACTATTATCTGAAATCTATAGTAAAAAACCCAGCTTATTATAGGTAATGCTCTGTTAAGCATGGCAGAATAAAAATTTTGATAAAAAAACCTGATACTAATCCATAACGTGTGGAACAATTGTATTAAATCACACATGCGCACATGGATGTGCATACGCATGCACGTGCGCATAATATAATATATATTTATCATGCACGCACACACACACACATTGTGTGCTTGCATGTGTGTATGCATTCCTGCATGTGTATAGAAGTAAAAATACATGGACACCCATGAAGATATAGATGAAAATATGTGAATAGGTGTAAAAAAATTATTTTGCAAGCTTTCGAGAACATTTGTCTCACATAGTATGTTAACTATACACATCAGGCTTCACAAGGAATATGCGTGTTACCATGATGATCAGTAAAACAAGCAGAGACTCTATAATGGAGAAATAATAATACAAACAAAGCATGTTCCCATGATAACTAATAAACAAAAATAATGTAAGACAAAGAGACATGTGTTTTCAAAAGCTTGAAAAATAAGACATTGACATTGCATATATAAATGTACATTACTGGATTTGTTTAATTTGTGTACAGGCTGGGCATTACAGGATGGAAAAGAGCCCTGGAATTCAGTGACGTCTGGGACCTGAATCCGGAAGATACATGTGAGAAGGTTATGCCACTATTCGAATCCCATTGGCAGCAGGAGGTGATGAAAGTTAGAAGGTACAGATCCAGTCACTCAATTATATGTAGTTCCATTCACTTAGATCATCTATTGATGGTGTACGTAACTGTGTTGCCAACCACCCCTATGGTCAAGATACCCAAGAGAGCCAAAATGTACCTTTCCATCGAAGTTTTAGGTTTTCCATGTAAAATACTTAGCAAACTGTATGGTAGTTATTGTGGCTGGTGTGTCCCAGCATGAGAGGATGCCTACAGTTAGGTTAGACAGTGTATAATAGTAAAAGTACTGTGTGAATGGGCAGTACTTGAGTTAGGTTGACAAATATCTCCATGTGCTAAATATTATTAACAGCCATTTCATCTGGGATCCAAAAGGGCAGTTTGGGGGTTTAATCGGCTCTTTTTTACTCTCTCTCTTCAGACTGCTATCTTCTCAGCGTTTTTCATACTACTTTCTCTGGTGGAATTTGAAAGCCTTAATACTTAAAATTTAGATGAAGTATATGTCCATTAATTATAATATCAGACAAAAACACTGCTTTCAAAATCCAGGGTTTCCTCCAGGAGTGTGTTATTGAAGTCACTGGAAGGCTAAGCTTATTATTAACCAACATTTTGGTGTATAGAATGTATGTACACGGGTTTAATGTTGTACATGATGAATAGCATTGAATACTGCAATTCCTTACAGGTGTAAGATTCAACATGTGGTAGCAGGAATACAGCTGACTGTTGCACAATTGGAATGGGTTTCTTATGTAATTTTTCAGATCAAAGGCCGTAGCAAAGGCTGATGAGGCAGTTGGCATTCCACCCAAAGAACCATACGAGCCTTCCATTGCCCTCACTATCGCCAAATGCTTTGGATCTACATATGCTTGGGCATCTGGGATAAAACTTCTAAATGACATCTTGTTGTTTGCTGGACCACAAATCCTTAAGTATGTTTAGGGCAGTGCAACTACTGGTACGCTGTTTATATTCTAGTGTCTTGCTCAATAGTTTAATGGATGACCTAGCCCATATAGTTACATATAAATATATTGTGATGTCTGAGTGATTGTGTTTATTAAAAGATGGTGAATATGAAAGGATAATAAATTATGAGTGTAATAAATATATGCGGGTGTCCATGCTAATGCGCATGCTCATGGGCATGTTTGTAAGCGCACGTAAGTGCGTGTGCATGCGTGCGTGCATGCATGCACCCGTGCGTGTGTGCGCGCATTCATGTTCGTCTGTTTGTGTAATATTGCCTTCACACATTGCAGGTGGTTGATAGCGTTTATTAGCAGTGATGATTTTCCTTTCTGGCAAGGCTACTTCTACGCCGTCCTGCTGTTTGTTGTGTCGATGGTGCGCACGTTACTCATGCAGCAGTTTGTGAATGAAGCGTTGCGTGTTGGCATGAGAGTCCGCACTGCTGTCACTGGGATTGTCTACAAGAAGGTAGAGATTTAAGAGGAAATGAGTATTGAGACAAATTAGCATGTTGTTGTGATTCATGCTTGTAAATGACACAAGGCATTGAGAATTTCATTGATCATTAAATATTTTTATGTATAAACTGTGCATTAATTGTCATATGTTAATCTTCTTGCGATCTGTATCACCTGTGTCTCAGGCAAACTCGAGTTATAAAATCACGTTTTCTTCACACAATATCAGGCACTCACCATGAGCAGTGCATCGCGACGCATATCTACAGTAGGTGAGACAGTCAACCTGATGTCAGTAGATGCTCAGAGACTGATGGATCTGGCGTCTTACTTGGTCTATCTATGGTAAAATACACTGCGACACCGCAACGGAGAATCTTAGAGAGCATTATTTTGTCACCGTGGTTCATGGGTGGTTTGCTTAGGTCTGCAGCAATGGTAAGGAAAATCCTAACAGTATTATTATTGGAGGTAGTTTTAAGTACTAGAATTTCGTCATCATATATGCAATTAATCCAGTAAAATTTTTGTCTGTATTTTTCAGGTCTGCACCATTTATCATTGTTCTGTGTATGTACTTCCTGTGGCAGGAGCTTGGTCCTTCTGTTTTGGCTGGGGTGGCTGTTCTCATACTTCTTCTACCTCTAAACGCTGTGATAGCCCATCTAACCAATAAACTACAGGTATAGTTAGGATATTCTCTAGAGATTGGTGCGATAATAAATAAACTTAATCCATATCGACCTAATAAATTATGCTTTCTATGTGTGACTTAGTGTTGAATGAAAATTATGTATGCAGTTATAGTTTAATGTATTTTCATTTGATTTTCAGGTGTCGCAAATGACATTTAAGGATTTAAGAATAAATGTGATGAATGAGATCCTTAATGGTATCAAGGTAAGATAATCAGGGAAAACCGAAGGTTAATTGTTTCATTGTATTTTATATGTGGCCCTTATACTTTGCCTATACTATTCTCTGTTATACAGATACTTGTGTGTGTTAGGTAATACATTGCTATTCTGTAACATTAAAGTTTGTTTGTGAAATCATGCACGTGATGCATGTAAGCATTATCACATGTAGTACGTGTCACTTATTTTTTGTTCTGTAGGTGCTAAAGCTGTATGCATGGGAGCCGTTCTTTCAGGATAAGATATTAGATCTCAGAGAAAAAGAGCTCCATGTTTTAAAGAAATCAAATTATCTGGGCGCAGTCAGTATTTTCACGTGGACATGTGCACCTTTTTTGGTGAGTGAATATCTACGTTTTGCTCTGGGTCGGACATTCTAGTTTCACTCACTTTATTAACAAGATTGTATGATGCATAATCATAGTCATCATCATCACAGGTGTTGAAAGTATTGCGAGTCCGAAGTAAAATGCTCCCTGTTTTTACTGAGTGCTGAATTGAAATTCTGATACAAATCCAAAAACATTAAATGCACTACTGCTTTAAGTGTATTAAAACCTGATAATCTGCATTAACGGACAGCAGTTACCTACCAAGATAACTTATTATTTTAATCCTGAGGTGACTTTGGTATATATAATGCATTGTTGTTATCTTTAATTTTAAATGGAGCTAATGAGACTTCCTCATTTAGCTGGATAATCCCTATTTTTGAGTGCATGCTGGGGGTTTAACTTCATTTAATGAAAGTGGATTTCTGCCTCTTTTATCATTTATATAAGTACCAAGTTTTTATCTGCAATGACATGACTTTGTAATTCGAATTTAATGGTGATTTACCTACTGATTGGAATCCCTGCACATCACTGCTATTGTATACTGCTGCGGACTCGAGTTGTTCTGTTATTGTTCATATAGGTTTCACTGGTGAGCTTCATGGTATATGTGCTCTCTGACCCGAGCCATGTGTTGACTGCAAGCAAGGCCTTTGTGTCTTTAGCTCTGTTCAACCTGATTCGCTTTCCTTTATCTGTCATGCCTTGGACGATCACTCTTTTAGTACAGGTAGGAAAACAATGATTCCATATATGTGCAAGTACCCCCAAATTTGTAGCATTTAAGTAATTACTATTTATATTATGGTATGCAATCAAAGTATGTGTTGCTTCGTAGAGCATACTTATTAGCATATGATTGCTGGTTTTTCAGTCATCAGTTTCACTAAGACGACTAAGAAGGTACCTAATGCAAGCTGACCTTGATCCTAATTCAGTCGACCATAACTCTGCAGAAGGTAAGTTATTTAAGGAAATACTAGTCATACAACCAAAGCCATGCTATATATTTTATAATAGTTATATATATATATAAAAATTTATTAGCTTCTTTAAGCGGTTAACCTGTACTGCTTATTACAGCAGTACCTACGCAAAACAGTGAGACAATCGAAAATCATTAACATCGTCGAACATCGTTAATTTGAAATTGATGCTCTTATATTTCTTATGTATAACTGTTAGGAGATCGAGTGCATACAAACCCTCCCTATTTTTCCCAGTTGTTGATGTATTATGGTGAAGAATAATTTATAACTAGAGTTTCACCGAGTATTATTGATCAGGTTGTGTGATTACTGAGTGAGATAGATTAACCATATGTGTAATTAGGCTTCTGTGTGACATGTGATATTTTTAGCTGCACATATAGTTGTCACGGATGGCAATTTCAAGTGGGATGAGATCAGTGATGCACCCACCCTAGCCAACATCAATCTCCAGGTAATACTTTTTTTATAATTTTTTTATTTCCAGCTATGGAATACAATTTGATATGTAGGTATACTTTGGTACACAACTTTAATTTATACTTAACTTACTTTTGTATGTTCGGGATCTTATTACATATAAATTGGCAATCAAGACTTAGTGCATATTGAGGTACTACTTATACCCACATCCCCAAATGGTTTAGGTTATACCGATTCATTCACATCTGTTGTAATAAGTAATTTTCCTAAGATGGACAAGCGCCCTTTGACATGGATGTATCACGTTCTTTTGAGTAGTTGAAGGAGGGCACATTAACTGCCATTGTTGGTCAAGTTGGTGCCGGCAAGTCGTCACTCATGAGTGCTTTCCTGGGTGAAATGGAGAGAATGATGGGAAAAGTACACATGAGAGTAAGTTCAGATACTGTCATTAATCACATAGATAGAATTTCACTTAAAGCCGCACTATATGCGCATCCAAACGCTAATTTCTCCAGTACTAGACTAGCAAATACTTCGTGTCATGCATAATCACACTACTTTATGACAAAATAAACTCTAGTTCCTCCCATTTCACTGCACGTTGTGTCTTATAAAAGGCATTTGAAAATACCTTCATTGTTCAAATTCTCCGATGTTGTTGACACTTTCGCATTGCTTTGCCAAGCAACGGTGGAGCGGTGCTGCGGTACAGCGGTACGGGTGTAGCAAAGATAAACACATGTGACGTCACCTGAATGATTCTTGGCGAAATTGTTTGGCAAACAATTTAGCGTTGGCGCCAGATTACCAGATTTGGCACCACTTTCTTCTGGGTTTTAAGCAAACGCGCACTGAAATGGGAGGAACTAGAGTTTATTTTGCCATAAGGTAGTGTGATTATGCATGACACGAAGTATTTGCTAGTCTAGTACTGGAGAAATTAGCGTTTAGATGCGCATAGTGTGGCTTTAACTTAAGGCAACTAACTATATGGAGTTACAGCCATCAATTTTTTGGCTTGCCATTATCTTGCGGAATGATTTAAATATTAATTAGTATTATAATATGCAGTGCAGTTCTTTGATAGAGTATGTGTACAATGCGTATGTGAAGTGGTTCTGAAACTATTACAAATCAATAACTGTGTACATTTTGGGAGGGAATTAAGGTCATAGCTTCGGGATAGGTTCTGACTCTTAGATGCAGAAAAATAAGTAAACCGGATGGAAGGATGGCTGCATGCACAACCCTCACACAACACACGTGAACACAATATGTGTGTCTTTTTCTAACAGGGCAAACTAGCGTACGTTTCACAGCAGGCATGGATCCAGAACGTGACGTTGAGGGATAACATAGTGTTTAACAATGATTGGGATGAGACTTGGTACCACAAAGTCATCGATGCTTGTGCCCTGGAACCAGACCTAGATGTCCTGCCAGGAGGAGATCTGACTGAGATTGGGGAACGGGTTCGTGATGAGAAACTTTCATACTTACTGCTGACAACATTAGATGCCATGGCATTAATGAAAGTTTTGCGGCATCTATCTTTTTTCTTCATATTTTATATTTTTGAGATATCATAGTTTCTTGTCTGTTACATCAAACAAGAAACCACTCTGAAGTGTTTTCTCTAATACTTTTGATGTGGGAGCAAGTCAATACAATGTAGAGTAATTTGTCACCTTATTGTATGCTATAATTTTAATTTGATCGGAGTATCTATTGGTAATTTATTTTACAATTTTATAATGAACTCTACTTTATCAAAATGAAGCCCTTTCTTTATGCCTTCATGGTTTTCCTGATATGCATATGATGGTTGAGAATTTTGCATGTGCACATCAGTTACGCTGATAGGGTCTATGTCCCCCAGGGTACTGCCGGAACGTACCCTGGTAACTATCTGATATGCCGGACCGTATCTTGCTTACTCCCCACCGTACTCTGACTGTCCCTGTTCCGTCCCCTACTGATGTCGCAAAATTTGAAATATACATACAGACCGCCAATATTTATATCTTTATAAAGTTGGATTGGAGTATGAAACTGTGAAACCAAGAAGAAATTTCAACCTATATACACTGATGCGCGCAATCCTTTTGCAAATATCGCGATGATCGGGAATGCATTTTCCTTTCGCAATGTTTACGACATTTTTGCGAAGTTTCGCGCAAGATTTTTGAAAGATCTCCAAGTGTCGCGGAACAATAAAATTTGTATGATTATCTTAATGGGTTGGAAACGTATAGATTCGCTGACACTGTAGAATAATTACACGAATACTGAAACGAATATTTTGCGAGAACGGACCGGAAACCAGGGGCGTGTACAGGATTTGTACCAGGGAGGGGGTCTAACCGTAACCCAAACTTGCGAGCACGCAAAGGAGGGGTCTGGGGGGTCATCCCCTCAGAAATTTTTTGAAATTAGACCCTCTTAGATGCGTTTTCTGCACGAGCAGGGGGGGGTCCGGACCCCCTGGACCCCCCCCTCCCTGTACACGCCCCTGGAAACAAGGAACGGGAGCATAAAGCGGCGCGTTTCCTGCCGACAAGTGGTATATGTATTACGACATCGGCTGAAAGTCGGGGTACGGTTTGGAGTAGGCGAGGTACGGTCCGGCATATTAGATAGTGACCAGGGTACGTTCCGGTATACCGGACCGTACCCAGGGTACGTTCCGGCAGTACCCTGGGGGACATAGACCCTATCAGCATCAGTTACGCTAACTCACGCTTCTGTTGCATGATTGTAGGGCATCAACCTGAGCGGAGGGCAGAAGCAGCGTGTGAGTGTGGCGCGTGCCGTGTACAGTGATGCCGACATATTCCTACTTGATGATCCACTCAGCGCTGTCGACGCCCATGTTGGCAAACACATGTTCGGGCGGGTGATTAGTGCGTCTGGACTCCTAAATAATAAGGTATGTGCGCGTGCCACTATAGCAGGTAATATCAGACTAGTAGTATTTGGTAATTAGTTTAAACTAGTGGCCTGGTAAAACCCATTCAACTAGTTCCTTTATCAGAACAGATATTAGAGTATGCTCTTCGTAGCTTCATTACTTGGAAGAGTGGGTGCACGTGCACCAGATAAAATATTGGGCTGCTTAGTTGGAGGAGTAATGCACCGGTACTCACACTGCCTACGTTTCCTATTTCTTTTTTCATATGGGGTTCTGGTCGAGTGTATGCTTTATTATAATGTATGTACATATACTGCATTTATGTACTGTTTGTTCGACACATGTCTCACTGCCATATTGGTCTTTGACACATAAACATTATCACTGCTGCTTCTAAAAGTCGTGCTTATTGAAAGATAGGCGTGCAATGCTAGTGTGAGGTATCATTTCACTGTAACCACCCTGTTATAACTGAACCTCTTACCACCATGGGACACTGCAACCCTGTACACACGCTGGAGTCCCTGACTGAGTGCAGCTAGCTTGATACCAGACAGGTTGCTCGCTTTACGCAACCTTTGCTCCCCTCGTATTTGCTCTGAGTGATTTGAGTTTGTTCTATATATATATATTATACTTCTATGATACTTAATTGTTTTGCAGACACGAGTGTTGGTGACTCATGGGGTGAGCTTCCTACCCGAGGTTGATTCTATTGTTGTTATAAGAGGTGGCCGCATATCTGAAGTTGGTTCATTTGAGCAACTTCTCAGCTGCAATGGAGCTTTTGCAGAGTTCCTCAGGAACTACCTAACGAACCCTGAAAATGAGGATGTGATCACTGATTCAGAAGGTGGGTAATTTGGAACTACGAATACTCTCATTAAAAGAATCTAAATGATCTTGTCTAATAACTAGCATTAGACCTAGAGAGGTTTTCTTGTTACTGCATGGTTCATGACAACGTGCATATTGGCTTTAGTGAGAACAAAACATGTTTAAGAAATTATCGTGGAATATTGAGCCAGAGTTTCAGTATGGATTTAGTTTTAAAATATTCTTCTGATGAATATTCAGATCCAGATATCGTGGAGGAGATTCTACAGAAGGTTGCACCTGGATATGACAGGTATGTTGATAGAAAGATATGATGGCAAAGATAGGTACGTTGCTAGAAAGATATGATGGCAAAGATAGGTACGTTGCTAGAAAGATATGATGGCAAAGATAGGTACGTTGCTAGAAAGATATGATGGCAAAGATAGGTACGTTGCTAGAAAGATATGATGGCAAAGATAGGTACGTTGATAGGTAGATACGATTCTTTGTATTCACCTTTTTTGCTTCTATTTTAGACAAGCATCAAGGCCAGAAAGCAGCATGGATGAAGATCATCTGATACCGGAGTCTGCCCTCAGACAGCAGTCTGGGAATATACAAGTGAATGGCAAAGCAAATGTGAAACTGTTACCATCTGTAGGAGATAAACTCATAGATGAAGAAAAGGCAGAGACAGGCAATGTATGTTCCATGTGCTAATATTCTGCTATTCATGTTTTCTCTCTGTTCTTTTCAACTTTTCTTTTCTCTCTTTCTGGCGTAGGTTTCCCTAACCCTAGCGATCTAAATGGTTATATAATTTATTAGCTATCATATTATATTATATTGTATTAATTGTATGTAGTTTTATATTTTTGGCGATGTTGCTGGAAACACTGCAGTAATTATTACTGCTATAGAAGATCACTTTTTGTAACAAAATGATTTCTGTAAAATTTGTCATGTGTTGATTTTTTTTTAGGTGAGCCTTGCTGTTTTCAAAATGTATTTCAAGGCAGTGTCAACACCTATCGTGTCCATCATCTTTCTGTCGTACCTGCTGGCGAATGCGGCCCAGGTGGGATCGAGCATCTGGCTGAGTGCATGGAGCACCGACCAACCGCTGGACGACGGATCGCAGGACATACCACTGCGCAACATGAGGCTAGCTGTCTACGCTGCGCTTGGAACCCTTCAAAGTACTTATACACGCACAGCACATACATGCATGTATGCACGCATGCACGTGCACACACCTGTTCCTGTGTCCATAATACCTTCCGACTTACTCGCTTTCTCTCTCTCTCTCGCTCTCTCTCTCTCTCTCTCTACCTCTCTCTCTCTCTCTCTATCTCTCTCTCTCTCTCTCTCTTTGTCTCAATAATGTAACATGTGTTTTGCGCATGTTATATTACATTAGTAATTGTAGATAGCTAATTAGCTGTAAATAGCCTAGAATATGGGTAGAAGTGGACGTTTAGTATGTAGGTTAGAAATACTATAGTCCAGACAGTGTATGGACAAGAGTAGACATGTGTTCAGCACATGTAGTTTTGGCGCATAATAGGACGAACAAAGGAATTAGAGTCGTGCGTGATTGGTTGGGTAGAGTGGAGCTTGTTGGTGATTGGAGGAGAGAGTATAATATAAATAGAGACGGGGAGATTTGAACGGGAGTTGCAACGGTGAGACAGACGAGACGGACGTGTATTGATATAGTGACTGGTTATTTTGTAAACAATATATTTCTTAATTGAACACAAATTCTATACTCTATATGATTCTTTTACTCTAAATTATTACATTCAAATCTTTGTAACTTGCATAATACAATAATATCAAGAGCTATTAAATAGGTATTATTAGCTCTTGATAATATGCACATGTTGTTATATACATGCCATGTAACACAATATTATAGAGGGTGTGTCGTATATGTGCTTTCGATACATGATATATAAGCTGTTAGGTGTGCTTGTACACTTTGTTCTCTGGATTTCTGCAGGTTTATTTGTGCTAAGTTCTGCCATCGGTATTGCACTGGGTGTCATGTTTGCCTCCCGGTCTCTTCACCGTGATATGCTAAGGAATATGTTTCGATCACCAATGTCATTCTTTGACACAACCCCGCTTGGCCGGATTGTGAACAGGTAAAAAGGAAGACATTTTACTTTGGCGTTGTCTACATAAGCTACACAACAAACGTGGAAAAGTTATCATGTGACCTAATTATTGTTCAGAGCCACAGTTAAACACAATTTCCTCTATTTTACTTGTGATTCGTGTATACATCCAAACTAGGAAGTGTAATTATACATTGTATAATATGTTTGTGGAATGCCTTTTTGTATATATGAATGATGAATATTATTATTGGTTTTTGGCAGGTTTTCAAAAGATATAGACGTTGTCGATAACATCATTCCTATGAGCCTTCAGAACTGGCTGTTCTGTGTGTTTTATGTGTTTGGCACACTATTTCTCATCAGTTATGGCACACCGATATTTGCCGCCGCCATACCGCCACTGGCTGTGTTGTACTGGTTCATACAGGTATGGTGATGCCAGCTACAGTGCTACTAGTGTTATTGATTCTTGGGTACTGCAGCAGTTGTGCTTATTGTTCGCTTCAGTCCTCCCCTGATGGATATTGATCTTATTGTAGCATAAAGGGCGTGAGCATTATTCACTGTTAACATATAGATGTTTTGATGCAATGATAATTTAATGATGTAAAATTCATATCCAAAATCCTTTACCTCATTGCGATATCCATTACCATATGATCATGAGACCATGCTGTGTGGTGCTGCACTAAAGTAGACCTTACTATTTCAGCGCATATATGTCGCATCGTCGCGGCAGCTGAAGCGCCTCGAATCCATCAGCCGATCTCCGATATACTCTCACTTCTCTGAGACTGTGACAGGGGCCAGCACAATCAGGGCATTCCAGGTGCAAGAGCGCTTCATATTAGACAATGAAGCTAGGATTGACAACAACCAAAAGTGTTACTTTGCTATTATCATGGGCAACAGGTAAACGATTAGATAAATAACTGTTTCCTTTGCATATAGCCCATTCCCTTGTTATCCCACTTCATATTGGGGTTGTCAGGAGTTAAGTGGTTAAGACAACATACAATATGACCTGATTCTGCTTGTTTTTAGCTCACCTTGACATCGTCAAGCTGAGCTATTGCCATGGGTCGTCGTCTGTTCGTCCATCCGTCCGTCCGTCCGTCCGTCAACATTTCGCTTCGGTCAACGATAACTCAGGAACTGTTTGACCCACATATTTGAAATTGGGTATAGTTGTTACTGCTATGCTCCCATATTAAACGTCCTATTTTGAAGCACGCCAGTCGACTTACTTTCGAGCCACATGCCATTAGTCAGTTCACGTTCAACGGATTTTGCTCATTTTTGGTATGTGAATGAATAAGGGCTAGGGGTTTTGATATTTAAAAAGAAATTAGATAGGATTTGGCAATTATATAGCATATTATGTAGACACAAACAGTCTGTGGTGTCACACTCGTCTGGTTCGTTTTACAAGATTTCATTGACAATATCTTTAATGCAAAATTGGTATTTCCTCTCCACCCTGCTGATAAAACATCTATATTAGAGTAAAGATTTACAAAACATGTCGGAACGCAGCATAACCTATTTATTTCAAACGCCATCGCTACAAAGCGGGTATAGCGCCATCTACGGTCACAAATTGTGATTCATTTTGGTTTATAAATTATTATTGCGATATACAGATGGCAATTGTTTCTATAATGTACGTCGATGGTTGCTCAATTAAGACTGACTTCTTCTTACTCACTCATTTGTGTCCTTTTTTGTGGTGAGCTAAAGTGTCATTGACACTTTCATTTGTTTCCATAATCAGAGTTTTTAATAGGGTAGCAGGATTGGTCCCATGACCAACCCCAGCCTGGGGAATAATAATAAGTTATTATAATTTACTTACTCAAACAACAAAACACACACGACAATGCTAATTTGTTTGATGTGTAAAATCGCGGAATCTATTCTAGCACCATTTGTCTTACAGGTGGCTGGCTGTACATTTGGAGGCAATCGGTAACCTCATAATATTCTTCTCTGCGCTGTTCACGGTGATTGGCAAGCAAATGGGAGAGATAGATCCGGGTTTAGCAGGTCTTTCTATCTCAAATTCTCTCGGTGTAAGTGTCAGGTTTCCAGCAAGAATCGCCATGAAATAGTCTTTTAGATTTAACTACATGTGTCAACTCGTCATGCATGCGTTGCGCTGTATGGATTTGCTGTAACATGAGCTATTCTTCCCTCTGTTGAATTAGATTGCGTGTGTATGTGTGCCTGGAATTTATTTGGGCTTGATGTGGTTCTTGTATGTCTCACTATTTCTTCTGCTTACAGTTGATACAGGCACTTAACTGGGCAGTGCGATTTACAAGTGAGCTAGAAACAAATATAGTTGCTGTGGAGAGAGTCAAGGAGTATTCCGAGACACCAAACGAGGTATGGAGAAAACGTGATATACTTCTAGTCATTCACAGGTATCCAAGGCTATATACACAGTGAGATACATGAGGCTCTATCCAAGATTTTAGTCTATGTTCATTATAGGTTTAACAACTGCTGGTTGGGTACGCAATAAGGTGGCTGACAACAAGTGTTGGCTAGCAACAATAAGGTCATGGTGCTTTTGATGAAAAGCACTAATGCTATTTCAGAAAATTACTAGAGTAATGTTTCAAATTTTTCTTGACGCTAACCTTAGCTAATTCAAAATTTACTTGTGATTGTCATACGTTCATACATCTACTAGCAGTGCTTGCTTGCCCCAGGCTCCATGGGAGTCAGCTGGCAAGCTAGGACTGGTACCTCCACCGGCTTACTGGCCACCAGAGGGTGACGTTCAGTTTGACAACTACAGTGTTTGCTACCGACCAGGCCTCGCCCTTGTGCTGAACCAGATCAGCTGCTTTGTGTCTGCGAGTGAGAAAGTATGGAATTACTGAGCTGAAGCCTCCATGCAGTTGTTGTGTCTGTCAACATAATTATAGTGCAGCTAGAATAAATGTCCAAGTAAATTTTTCTATTTAATCTTCTGTAAACTAAATAGATTGATTCATCTTATTAGATTTTCTTTCTTTATGAATACACTTTTGGTAGCGTTGCATTTCCGTTATCTATATATCTGATATATTTATCACCACTGATTGTCCTGTTTTGAACGCATTGCTTGACTGGGTGTATATGTTTTTGCAGGTAGGCATAGTTGGGAGAACGGGTGCAGGCAAATCCTCACTCATACTCTCGCTGTTTCGCATCATTGAGGCATCAGAGGGTGCCATTCACATCGATGGTCGCAACATCGCTGAGATGGGTCTGCACGAACTTCGCTCTAAGCTGACCGTCATTCCACAGGTACGAGCATCGCCGCGATAAAATTACGCGAGCATTATGTAAGCGCTGCTGCTCCTCGGGACGCCTCTCAAAAACTGTCTCGTCAAAAACGCGGCAAAATTTAAACATGTGGCGCCCTCTCCACTAAACTAATTATTTAAACAGGCACAAAATAGCAAACGTACGGTACAATGTAATATAAACACTGCTGCCAGTAACAGAACAGAAACAGAAGGTTATCAATAACTATTGTTGCTCTTGCCACAGGATCCAATGCTGTTCTCCGGCAGTCTCCGAATGAACCTTGATCCGTTCAGCTGGCACAGTGACGGGGCAGTATGGAGGGCTATCGAACACGCCCACCTGAAGGCATTTGTGATGTCCCTACCAGCTGGGCTGCAGTATGAGATCAGTGAGGGAGGGGAAAACCTGAGCGTGGGACAGCGCCAGCTGGTTTGCCTTGCCCGCGCGTTGCTCAGGAAGACAAAGGTGCTCATCCTGGATGAAGCTACGGCTGCGATCGACCTTGAGACGGACGACCTTATCCAGGCAACCATTAGGCAAGCGTTTGCCAACTGTACTGTGTTGACTGTTGCTCACAGGCTCAATACCATCATGGATAGCACGAGGTATGGACACACGATGTTTCTTATTTGTAAGTTGTAACGATTGCGGCTATTAATATTCCAGAGACTTTTAAACTTTGGCAGTTACTTCTAATTTAGCACTGTTTATAAAGCTTTATTACAGACATTCCGACTTATAGTATTTTGTAAAATGGTATACACCCAGGAGCTATTTTACTGATACATGGATTTTTCAACAAACCTAAGCATTATTATCACGACTACATAAGTAAAGTAAACGACTGTAATTGACGATTTTGCCGCATTTTCATTTGTGTTGGCCATTTAGGCAATACCAAACAAGTTATCAGTGAACAACAGCGTGATAACTTTGGCAACCACAGATTGATTCATCAACAGCAATCCGTCTTTGCAGGGTGATGGTCCTAGACAATGGAATGCTAAAGGAGTTTGATACACCCGAAAACCTTCTGCAGGACAAGAACTCAATCTTCTACTCGATGGCGAGAGAGGCTGGTATCGTTGGACGCAGTCACAGTCTGCTGCCCGATACAGAGAACATCGCTACTTGATCTTACTCCAACCGTTCTCATTTATTGTCAAGTGCATTTAGATAGATTGTTAGTAGATGTAATTAGTAATATATATGTTATATATATGCAGAGAATGAAGCATGCAGTATCCAGTACTGTACAACACTGGCATATTTTTAGCTCATCTGACATAGTCAGATGCAGCTTGTAGGTGCGTCCGGCCATGCGTCCGTCCGTGCGTCAACGGTTGGGCACAAATCTTAACCACTCGACGTACGGTCACGATATTCAGGACATGGGGGGGTAATCCGAAAACTAGTTGGGATGTCGAAGCTGGGGGTCAAAGGTCAAGAGGTGTAAAAGAAGGGGGAACATTCCCTCCTTAACTTAAGGTATAGGGAGGAAATGCAGAATTGCGGCACAAATCTAAACGGCTCGACCTAGGTTCGTGATAGTCAATGTATAGCATCATGGTAGGAAAAGCCATCACTGTGCCGAAATTGGTGGTCACAGGTCAAAGGTCAATGGGGCACAGGGCAGATTTTACACATTTTCTGAGGACATGGTCTGACGGAGCGATTGAAAAACTTTTTTATTTCAGCGGTGACCTACCATTTTTATGGCTTTATTGAAAGGACCATGAAATGTGCTTTCCACTGACGTGCGAAGAGTAAGTGTCTGGTAACCCTTTGACCCTCAAGAGGAGGGTTAAACATGGATTTTTTGACTGTTAACAAAGGACTGAACTGCTTTTGCTATTAGAGCCTCTTTCACCCGCCCCTTCCCCCACCCACCCCCACCACCACTACGCTCGCGCTCGACGCATATCTATGATAACGTTAATATAGCGAAGTCATTAAAGCTGCACAGCTATATCTTTATTACTGTACTACCGGTATAGCAAAGCCTATCAACGCGGTGGCGGGAGGGCGCACTTGATTCGGTTGCCAGTGAGTTTATCAGAAGAATAGCCGGCTACAGTACACGTCAGTTGAGCGCTGTCGCTCTGCGGCACTTGTTGAAATATAGCAAATGTCTTGTCATTATCCTACACATAGCACATATGCATAGTATTCCCTGAAGCCACAGTGGCTATAATGGTGAGCATCATATGGTAGGAAACGAATATGCATATTCTAGTATGTGGCGCTAGTGCTGTTAAGTTGTTATTCATTTTTAGTAAGAAATGTTAAGCTATTGTAAAGATATGTTTATACTTGACATGGTAGCTACTGTAACAAGTTTAAACAGCTTTGTATCATTGAAGAATAGTGAGTATAAGTTAATCATGAATCCATTGTTGTAGTAACTACTTACTGTAACAAGTAAAATGTCATTTCTATTCCGTGAGTGAGAGAAGAAATGACCATGATCACTTTTGTGATGTTTGGCAAGTTGTGCAACTAGTCTATTGATATTTACGTATTCATTATACATTCCTCAGCATAAGTGAAGGTCAAGGTATACAAAGTATATTTTTCAACGACAATTTATAGACTATGCTGAATAAAAACGTTAGGAATCCTGGTAGCTAGAATTCATGGTTTTAGCTATCATGGTTAAACACTATGAACAAGTCATCAATTAACTTTGTGTTATATAACTCTATTTTAAATAGATGAAAATAACCGTTTTATGCTATTGATGAGGTGATAGTGAAAAGATGTTTTGATCAGTCTCTTGAAATTTATTGGCTTACTGCAACGAGAGAAACTAGTTTAATCTCGCTATAGCCAAATGTAATCATTATTTTGTTGTGCCAGATTTTGTTAAGACAAATTTACAATTGTTGCTTGTTGATGTGTAATTTCAATGCATTTGTGATAGCCCACGATGAATAATCAGGATATATCAAAAGTAAAACAGGTACTCCCAGTGATGTTTGTAATAAAAGTTATATTATCCTAAAGAACTTCTTGAGTAATTGCGTATAACACCATTTCTCTTGCAATATACGTTTTATGCCAGTATACCAGTGTTGCGAAGCCATCTTTCTCGAAACAATTTTTAATTGGATAACCAGCACATTTTTAGCAGAACAATAGCCTCAGATACAAACTGAATAAACAAAAGGTCGGCAATTAACTTATTACTATCACGGTCACTAGGAGAGCAGCAGATCAGTTGAAGTATTTCGTTCAATGCAAGGCAAAGCTAGTTGGTTAACATCTTTAACTCGTGTAATAGATGGCACGTCCAGTATTTGATGCTCATTCCGACTGGCCATGATTAATATGTAAACACGAAAATATAACGATTATATAAAACGCATCGCAACTTTTCAAGGTAGTTGAACACCCCAACTGATCATGTTTGGTATGTTATGCATGCGAGAGGCTCTCAAAACAACAAAGGCAACTTTATAAACCACTGGTATCGCATATTATTAAATTATTTAATATTATATGACAAAGTACCATACTGGCATAATAGACCAAATGATATCCATGAAGCTGTAAATTTACTCTGAAGTCACAATTTCCCCACAAAGGAAAGCCACCTTTAGTTACCTTTTCACTACCGACTGTTAAACTGGGGGTAACGTCAATAATCTTATGCAGTATGGGGAGACAAACAGCAAATGCCTCCATCCACGGGGCACACACAGCGTGATGTTACGAACGATCTCGTGCGAGCTCCCGCAGGCACTGAGAACATGGTTAATAAATATGCACATGCAGCCCTGTTCCATACACTCCCATGTTCTAAACGATGAATCGTCTTGCTGCATTGCATTAGTTTCTGCTAGAGGACGTCCCGCTTCCTGGTGTGAGGCTCATTTCTCCTCCCTGGCCACCCTCTCGGGCAGGACTCTTCACCTGGATTTGGTTCTTTAACATCGCTGAGCGCAAGACCAATGCCTGTAGACGACAACACCAGTATTAACATTTGCTTATAGCGTGTGATACATGTATTTATTATATAGCTGTGTAAATTTCACACTGTAATTGGTTGAGAGGGGGAACGGGTAATCGGGCAATAAAATAGTACGAATATGTATGACAGTATATAACATTAAATGACTAATGTCTAACCATTTAATTTCGATAATGAAATATTGTATCATGGAAGTAAACACGATCTAGTACGAGTTGATGTGACATACTAAAGCAGAAGTACGCCATTTCAAAGAGAGACATTGTGGCGTGCTGGCTATAACTTCTTGTTATGCAGGTGCCTATATTCTCAGATACGATATATTCATGGGTTACCTTGGTTCTTCGCTGGTAGGCCTTGCCCATTGCAAGTGACCTCTCAAACGTAGTGCTACGCTGGTCCGTGTCCTTTGCATACAGAATCTAAAAGCAAAATACCATGAACGAAGATGCCACAATACTTCGCGAAACACGTCCAAGTACTGCTTCACAGCTTACTGGCTTACACGACATGTGGCTATGACCATCAGAGGCATGGATGGCAAGTAGGGGTAGAGATTAGTTTGAAAATTTACAGGCCAGCCAGGATTGTAGGCAAGGGATTTTACAGGCCCGCATCATTCCCCGGATACCGCAGCCTTTAAAAAAAAATAAGACTGAAATTTTAAATTTGTACAATGGTTTATTTACAGTAATACAAAGAACATATTCAGTGAATAGTAATGAGCTATACTGCAGTAAATTTTTCATCCTCCCTGGCGTGCCAGGGACGGTTTTGCATGCTGGGGGTGGATTTTCTACAGGCCCGTCGGGCTTGCTATTAGAAATGTCAGGGCCGAGCCTTAAAATACGAGCATCGGGCCCGCGGGCCCCTTACGATTTCGACCCATGGCAAGCCTAGGAGATTTACAGTACTAGGAGCACCTTGTTGTGAGAGTCGATGCGTGCCTGGATCTGTCCATCTAGAATCAACTGCATCAGTTCATCCTCCAGCGCTGGTAGCGACGTATTGAACGCAGTCGCCATCTTGTTCATGTCGGCGGAGAGGTAAGGACTAAAATACTGCAACACATGACACCGATTAGCACGCCTTCCGCATGTGTATCACTAAGGGTCACATTCACGTCGGTGATGAACACACTAATACCAATCTACGACAAGATGGCAGCTTGATAACATCTAGCATTACAGCCGAATTTTTCACCCACGCACGTTTTAACGACAGAATGACGGGTGCCCACAAATACCTGCAGAAAACCAATCATATCTGATTTACATGTCACAGCAAGACTGCCGCTGCTCACCTGTATGAGCGCTCGATTCCTGATCTGGGTATACAGAGTGTTGACGTGATGTGCGAGGTACATGTCCAGTCTAAGATTGTCATTGACCTCGGTGAGTAGCTTCAGACAGAATGCATACTTCGACTCGTAGAACATGTAGAGAATGTCCCTAAGCTGTGGCTCTAGCTCCAGAAACAGCTTGAAGGAACTACAATCGCAAGTGAAACACAGCTGTGATTCCCCCAAATTGAAAAACTACTCCAATTGCCACACATGTGTAAGGAAGGATTTTGACGTCTCTCGTCACTTGTTGGTCACTGATCATAGACAGTGATGGTCGAAGGCGTCGTGTATAATATAGACGGCTTTATTCTAATATATATATATATATGTTACGACATACATAAGTACAACAGTACGTAAGTGCCTCCTCTCCATTCCTCTGTATTGCTACATATGCATCTCAGCATTCACAATAATTCATCATTTACAACCATAATATACATCTAACAAACACATGCCTGAGATAAATGAAAATAATCAGATATGGCATGTGAAGCCTATAATCTTTTGCGAACGTAATTTTAAAAATGAACCACTGCCGACCAGCAAGGTCTAGTGAAATGTACCTGCTGGAGATGACGTTCTTTTGCAATTCATGTCGATCAAACGACGCCAGCGCACACAGTCCTCCATACATGGCCACATTGCTCGGGGAGAGTAACTGAAAAGGAATAGCATGGAATTACTATGACGTTTAACGTATAGTAATAAAATTTAGCTTAGTAAATAATATTTAGCAACCAGGAAAATGATTTTTGTCAAGATGCTAGTTCAGAAAATGTTGCAAAACAAGAATCGAACAGGTTGTCACTGTAACAATCTTACCAACATACCTTTATCTACGCATTGCAAGGAGGATAAAAATTCAGATTGCTCTATTGATGCATAGACACACATCGGAAGTATACACACCTCTGTAAAATCACAGTGGTCAAAGTTAGCCTGCAGAAAGTACTTTGCAGCAGATTTGTACTTTCCCGTGGCCAGTTCCGCAAGTCCAGCTGCGCATTTCAACTTTGTCATCACTGGTGTACTGTCCTTACCGGCAGTCACATGCTGCAGTGCATAAACCATCGCACAGCAAATTAGCAATGCCTTCTATAGGCATGTATTGGCAATGCCTTCTATAGGCATGTATTGGCAATGAATGGGAAGCAGAGTTGTGAAATGTGACATCTTTATTCTCTCTGGGAATTGGGGGCAGAATAGGGAAAGCAACGCACTCAGCATCAAATGACACTAGAACAAGGGGAGATGACAGTTATACTGACCGATTGGTATCAACCTAGAAGCTCGCCTACTGAGGGCTGTGGAATATCCAAGACTAGCTGGTAATTGTGAGATATGAGAATATATGATGAATATGAATGCAGCTTGTTCCATTGACATATGATATGTATAGCACGATTTAGGTAATTTTACCAACGACTTTTAACATAGCTCTGGTTATCCCATGTAATACATAGAATAAATTAACCTGATCAGATGATTGTTACCTAATTGAAATCAAAGATATTTCATCAAGAGTTACGAAAGCTATTTTCGTTAATACTCATTAAAACTCACGAAATGCCACAGCAGTCATGCACATTAATTATAATCTTTATACCATATTAATAAAATAATTACTCAAAATCTCACAAATTTCTCTCATACAACAAACCAACCTGGATTTGTATGGTACGTACCTGTGTTCCATCAGTGACCTCAGGTGTAGCTTCTGCCTTATTGACATAGGTGAGCACGTGTGACCAGTTCTGCAGATAAACACTCACCTGCAGCAGGCAAGAGATGTTTTAACAAAGTCTCCTTAGGTTTTGAAGTCAAACTTTTATATATCACAGAACTTTGCATTTACCATTCAATGTTTAGTTTTCTAAAACAAACTATCCACAAGTTGATGACCACATGCACGTACTATTGTTCCCATTTGCACATTCAGCCATCAGCTCACCTTGATCACATTTAGACACATGTTGATTACGTGCTTTGGACTAGTACAGTAGTCCCTAGCACGTGAGTAGCATTTCAGTGCATTGCTCAGGTCACCGCAGTCTAAGTAGTGATCTCCTAGGTCATCATGACCTCTTCTGCATAACCGATACACAGAGAAATGAAACATATATTACAAGCACGGTCTTTGCTGCCTTCTACATTGCTGTTCAAAATATTGCAAGGTTTCTTTACGAATATATGAAAATAGTCTTTGCATCTAACAAAAAGTAGCCCTTTAACATTTCTTAGTTCTGGTAACAATCAATACATGGATATCATTCACAACCTTATGCTCTCCTTGATTGAGTTGCTTTTGTAGTTTTTCAAATCTGTGTCAAGCTTCTCCAACTTAAGGGCTGCCTTCTTAGACGTCTGATCAATCCACTCCTGAGAAGGAGGGGTATATTGGACTGCCCCTCCCGCTACATCGGGCAGTGCAGCTGCACTGTTGCACACAAACATATGAATACCATTACAAGTATGCTACAATATACATAAAAAGGAAATGCCATTTCACAGTAATTATATGGTTACATTAGAGCTATATCATTTTAATACAACTATATGGTACATTCAGTGATAATATCTACCACAGATCACAGCTGTACAGCTCTCTAGCTGATATAGTTATTATTATTTATCTCCTAGATGATCACAACTAAAGGCTATGTTAATTAATACCTGGCTTCCTGCAGTTTCCTATGCATCTGCTGATATATGGTTGTATTGTATGTTGTTTGGACATGTTGCAATGCCATACGGAGAGCCTCCAGTCTCAGCGGCGGACAATGATCAGCAATATACATTAGGCGATTTAGTTTAGCTAGCCCAGTATAACTTACAGCATATATCTCAAGGTCCTGTAACACAACACGTACTAATATAGGTTACCATCAATCTCTAAATATTTTATCAACAACAATAGTACCAATATCACAATAAAACTATCACGGCTATTTTTTTATCATTTTTAACAATTATGAAATTCAGGTCTGTTATAACATTGACATAGGTGAGCACGTGTGACCAGTTCTGCAGATAAACACTCACCTGCAGCAGGCAAGAGATGTTTTAACAAAGTCTCCTTAGGTTTTGAAGTCGAACTTTTATATATCACAGAACTTTGCATTTACCATTCAATGTTTAGTTTTCTAAAACAAACTATGCACAAGTTGATGACCACATGCACGTACTATTGTTCCCATTTGCACATTCAGCCATCAGCTCACCTTGATCACATTTAGACACATGTTGATTACGTGCTTTGGACTAGTACAGTAGTCCCTAGCACGTGAGTAGCATTTCAGTGCATTGCTCAGGTCACCGCAGTCTAAGTAGTGATCTCCTAGGTCATCATGACCTCTTCTGCATAACCGACACACAGAGAAATGAAACATATATTACAAGCACGGTCTTTGCTGCCTTCTACATTGCTGTTCAAAATATTGCAAGGTTTCTTTACGAATATATGAAAATAGTCTTTGCATCTAACAAAAAGTAGCCCTTTAACATTTCTTAGTTCTGGTAACAATCAATACATGGATATCATTCACAACCTTATGCTCTCCTTGATCGAGTTGCTTTTGTAGTTTTTCAAATCTGTGTCAAGTTTCTCCAACTTAAGGGCTGCCTTCTTAGACGTCTGATCAATCCACTCCTGAGAAGGAGGGGTATATTGGACTGCCCCTCCCGCTACATCGGGCAGTGCAGCTGCACTGTTGCACACAAACATATGAATACCATTACAAGTATGCTACAATATACATAAAAAGGAAATGCCATTTCACAGTAATTATATGGTTACATTAGAGCTATATCATTTGAATACAACTATATGGTACATTCAGTGATAATATCTACCACAGATCACAGCTGTACAGCTCTCTAGTTGATATAGTTATTATTATTTATCTCCTAGATGATCACAACTAAAGGCTATGTTAATTAATACCTGGCTTCCTGCAGTTTCCTATGCATCTGCTGATATATGGTTGTATTGTATGTTGTTTGGACATGTTGCAATGCCATACGGAGAGCCTCCAGTCTCAGCGGCGGACAATGATCAGCAATATACATTAGGCGATTTAGTTTAGCTAGCCCAGTATAACTTACAGCATATATCTCAAGGTCCTGTAACACAACACGTACTAATATAGGTTACCATCAATCTCTAAATATTTTATCAACAACAATAGTACCAATATCACAATAAAACTATCACGGCTATTTTTTTATTATTTTTAACAATTATGAAATTCAGGTCTGTTATAACATATCAACAGCAAAGTGATATTATCACATAAGTACTGACCAGAGTGGTGTTTTCAACAATATATGGTTCAGGTTCCACATTATCGTTCTCCTCTGGAGCTGCATCTACTTGCATGGGTTCTAGAGGGCTCTGTGAAATAGCACAATAAATCCTTGTACAACAAGTATAGCATTATACAAACAGAAAATATAGAAACATAGAAACAAGTGATCAACTAAACTAACATGATTAAGTTCCTTTTATAGGTTTCTGGGAAATACATGAATTGCATTAAAGATTCGCCTGGCTCAGGATAGTTGCTAAATTTATCCTCTTGCTTTCTATCTAGTGACGATTAGAAGCAAATGAAGGGTGTATGTCATCCCTGTTTATGTGATGTATTTGGGTGGATTCCCTTAGTTGCCTGTCCAGATGGGAGCCTTCCTTGTGTGTAACCTCACTCGCAGACCAGTCAGGGACATGGTTATTTTTCGACGTGCGGTCCATAATGGCAGACTTATATGGTCCTCTCGTGGTAGAGGTGGAGGCAAGCCTGGGGACTAGCTGCTGCAGCTGCTGAGGATCCTACGTACATATTTGTTTGTGTTCCCTCAGGCGGGTTACAGATATACTTCCAGCTTCCGCAATCAAATTGCTGGTGCAGTACGCATCGCAGTTGGTCATCAGATTTTATTTTTTGATTGGGGCGTCACTACCAGTAAAATTCTCAGTGTATTGTATAGTAGTGTAGTGTACTTCTACTTCTATACTGGACAGTCCGTAAGGAATAAACGTCCAGGGAGTGCGCGAAAACTCCAGGTGCACGTGAGAGATTTGCATGGAATATTTTTTAAATGTAGGCAGTAATGTGTTCCAGAGATCGAGGCTTCTCTGGGCCAGGCACTCATTACTGAGTATGACTAGCATACGGCAATAGGCTGTTGCGAGCTGTTGTAGTTGCCCAGCCGGAGATGCGTTTCACTTCCTCGAGGTGGCATAACAACGATGCTGCCTGACTCAATGTTTTGCCAGAGGGACCCAGTGAATTGCTGTGCTGTTGGACTAGTGAGTAGTGACTCCGGTAGCAGATTCCAGCTTCCGATTGTTCTAGGAAAAAAGCTGAACCTGTACCCATCTGTCCGGGTTCTGATGTTGTTGTATGTAAGCCGGTGTGTGCCACGGCATATGCTGGTGCTTTTGGTGAGGAAGGATGGAATGTCGACTGCTGCCTGTCCGTTGATTATTTTCCAGAATAGGGCCTGTCGGTTGACAAACCTGCGTTCCTGCAAGGAAGGCCATTGTAGGTCTAGGATCATTTGTGTAACACTCTCAGTTTGCTGGTAATTTCCCGTTACGAAGCGCGCTGCTCGTCTCTGCACTTTCTCCAGGTGTGTGGATCCCAGACAATACTTGCATACTCGAGGCTTGGCCTCACGTATGCTTTGTATGCCATCTCTTTGACAGGTTATGGGCATCCTACAAGGTTCCTGCGGATGAAATTTAGGGCCCGGGTTGCCTTTCCTTTCAACCGGCTGATGTGAGTAGACCAAGAGAGGTCATCAGTGAGCTCCACGTCGAGGTAGAGTTGATGTTCCTCATTTTTTAGCTTGGTTCCCATGATGGTATAGGTCTGCTTTATTGGGGTTTGTTTCCTTGATATTGTGAGGCTGGTGCACTTTTTTGGATTGAAAGACATTTTCCAGTTTTTGGACCATTGAACTAGCTTATCAATGTCCTTTTGAAGAAGCCCTGTATAAGATCTGCTTCTGATGGGTTTGTAGATGAGACAATCATCTGCAAACAGTCAGAGTGTTGAGTCGATGCCATTACATATGTCGTTTATGAAAACGAGGAACAGGAGGGGGCCGAGGACTGTTCCCTGGGGGACTCCTGACTTTACCGGTACTTTTCTTGATCTTTTTACCATCTTTGAGAACACTACAGTTTGGTGTCTTTTGGTCAGCCATTTACGTATCCATATCAAAGTCTTCCCTCTTGTTCCATAGTAGTTTAGCTTATGAAGCAGTTTATTGTGGGGGACTGTGTCGAAAGCCTTTGCGAAGTCTAAGATCACTACGTCTACTTGTTCGTTGTTATCCAGCCTGTAACTAAGGTCGTTGACAGTGGAAAGCAGCCGAGTCTCACAGCTGTGAGACTTCCTGAAACCATGCTGGCAGTTTGCAAGTATATTGTTATAGTCAAAGTGGTCCATCACACTCCTGAATATGATGTGTTCCCATTGACTTTTTGCAATGCCACAGAGGTAAGGGATATTGTCTAGTAGTTTGCCGGTCAGATTTGTTTCGCTTTCTTTGTGGCAGCTATGATGTTGCGTTAGCCAATCCTCTGGCATTCACGTGTGTATACTTTGATTGTATATAAGACACAGCATCGGCCCTATGATCTCTGCATGTTTCTTCAGCAGTGTTGTTGGTAGATTTTCAGGGCCAATTGCTTTCTTAGGATCTAGGATTTTAGTAGTTTAGTTACGCCAGGTAAGGTAATGGAGATGTCTTCCATTGTTGAGTGCGTGATGGGCCCATGTCAGGCATATTGTCTTTATTTTCTGTAGTGAAAAACTGATTCGTACTGGTCTGCTAGGACCTCTAGCCTTCTCTATTGTGTAGACACAAGTCTGTTTTTGTAAAGTAGTGCCGGTATGCCAATATCTTTTTCTTATTTTAATAAAATTCCAGAGTCTGTTGGTGTTGCGCCCTGCATCGTTTTCCAAATAGACTCTCTAGATATTTGTTGTATTCTAATTGTAGTATCTCCTTAATTTCTGGGCTGAGTCTCTCATAGAGTTTCTCTGATCAGCGTCGTTCTTAGTTTTCTTTGCCTTGTTCCACCTCCGTTTCCTTTTTATCATCATGCTTTTAATTTTTTCGGTGATGTATGGAATGTTATTGCTTGTCTTTATGATTTTCTTTGGTACGTGTGCTATCGATTGCAGTCTCAATATTGGCTTTGAAAATATCCAGTTAGTGTTGAGCTCCCTCCTTCTGCCTCTCTCATGAAATTTTCCTTGAATGCTAAGAGTTCAGTCTCGAGTAGGGAGGTGTCTAGCTCTAGAACTATAGCCCTCCGCTCTGGCGGCAGGGCTATAGAACATACTATGGGCAATTCTCCAGGTAGTAAGCAAAGACAACTTTCTGCGCTTATAACTTCTTAGGTACGCAAATAAAGCACATTCTCTGTCGCATAAATGTCTTAAGTTACTGCAAACACTAAAATTAAACTGCGCAAACTAACGTAATGTTGTACTTGCTATATTTACTTGTCGACGAAGATTACTTACAACTTGTCACCGGCCATTTTTCGTTGCGCGGCGCTAGCGCGGTTCTGGGGCTAGTGAGCGGGCACAATGTTTTCCAAGTGGAGGAGTGGGCAGGTTGCATGCGGTTGCAACCGCCACTCAGCGTGCGGCAATGACAATGGCGGTTTGCAACCGCGTCACCTGCCACCCCTCCACTTGGAAATACATTGTGCGCCGCTCACTAGCGTGCGCCAGCTCACTAGCGAAAAATAGCGGTTTACAAGTTTGCAAACAATCTTCGTCACGAGTAATATAGCAGTACAACATGTTAAGCGTTAGTTAGCGTTTAATTTTGGTGTTTATAGTAAGTTGAGACATTTGTGCGCGACAGAGAATGTGCTTTATTTGCGTACCGAAAAGTTTTAAGCGGCAAAAGTTGTCTTTGCTTACTACCTGGAAATTGCCATAGTATGGTTTCTATAGCCCTGCGGCGAAGGCAGAGGGCTATAGTTCTAAGAGCTAGGGAGGTGTCGTGTAGTGCAGGCGGCGCGTAGTGTAGTCAGACTTCTGTATCGTGTAGTGTTGCGTAGTAGTAACTAGTAGTATTTTATTTTTGAAAGAGCCCTAAGCGCCTAGACAGTTGGCAGCCAGATATCCGCGCGAAGCGCGCAACGCCACCTGGCGGCAATCTAAGCACGACTTCGCTGCCCCATTCCATTACCTTCACGGGTTTACATATATAAGGCAAGCAGCAGTTCGCTGAGTTGAGCAGTTTCTGGCACTTGGACGACGGATTTCACTACCCATGTAGCTTGACATTTGCTTGAAATGTCCGTATAACTTTTTTGGCGACTCAGCGTGCCTGGTTTGCTTGTAAAAAACGGATTTGCACTTTCTTGTTTGTTTGTTTCTGTTGATGAGTGTAGTAGATATGGTGTGCGATAGACAGCGCAACAAACGCCGAGGCTATAGGCATAGTAGACTGGTACGCCGTTCGCCACCTTTACTCCGGCATATCGCTACACTCACGTAGTGGTAGCGTGTGGCAACTGTCGCGGCGGGTACGCAGTCTATATGGCAGCATGGATTGATAGCATGGCATCTATGTGTATAACCATGGAAAAGTTTCTTATTGTTGCGTCGTTTGATTCGTTAAATAATTGACGAGCCGCAACTGAAATTTTTTTCATGCGGAAGGTGCATCTAATTAAGGAAAGTCGAATTTTGTTATGGGCAGACTAACGCCTATAAATAAGTATGTAAGCAAGCGTAGATGCGGCTTTACAATATTTGTTTACATACCGGGGCGGTGGTCGCTAGCCGTGTTATGTCGAATCTATGATCTTGCAGTGCAGACTTGCAGTCATACACTGATATGTACAGTCTTGTCGGGTTATTACATTACTATCATAGTGACGGGAAGTTGTACTTGCAAGTAGTTGTAGTGTACGGCAGTTGCTGTATAGCTGATGGCCCATAGCCTGAGTAGCTAAGGTTAGGAAGTGTACTGCGGACCGTAAATTAACCCACTAATTCATAATGGCTCATCTAATACAGAATAAATAAACGATGAATGTTCCAATTATATGTTATATACAGGTATTTTTTACTGCCTATAGCCTAGAGTCCTAACATATAATACGATGTATTGCGATGTATGTGTTTGTGCGCGGTTTGTGGCATGTATTGTCTACGTGTTCTCGGCTTAGCTTAGTGACTCGATGGGTAATCGAGGTGGGAGCGAGTCCCAGTCTAGTATAGCCTGTTGTCCTTGCAGCCATTTCCATTACTGGCAAGGTTCACGAACGCGCGAGAATTTCGTCAGTCTTTCTGTTGATTTTGCGTCACACAGCTCGGTTACGAAGAGAGACATTATGTTTTTATAAACAAGTGAGCACTGTTCACGTCCGCAATGTCTCCCTCTGTGTGTCCCCCACTAAATTGCGGACTGTTCGGCTGGCAGCTATGGATCGTGCGCCGGCCCAATTCATTCGGCGCACGGATCCATAGCTGCCAGCCGCTCGCATCCTGTCGTAGGACGTTTCCGGGGTCGGTGCCGCCTTGCCGCGGAACTGTGGCGCAAGATATGCGCTTAGCGCTTCGGATCAACACCTCCTTCGGCAACGCTTCTCTAGTATCCGCGTCTCATCTGGTCGTATAACATTACCACTAACACTGTTACTGTTAGTAACACTAAAACTAGTAGTAGTACAGCTAGTAATACTAACAGTGCTAATAATCACTAGTCTATACTCTAACTAGTCTACAGCTCAACACATTGCACAAAACTGTGTGAGTGCGTCTGTAGACAGTCACAGTGCGACTCACTGTCACTGTCAGTAGCAGAATAACACTACCAGAGACTAATTACCTGGAACAATTGCAGTGCAAGTGGCATTGTGATCCTAAATCAAAATCCTACCCGTTTCGAGAATGTAACAACAGCCAGTTAATAATAAAACAAACATTCATATGATATCAGTACAATAGCACATATTTTTCAATGGTCATGTCCAAGAAACACAAGAACAGTACATTTTACGCGGTTGTTCTCGCATTGCGTAAATATTATTTTCTCTAGATGAAATTTGGAGATTGTTTATTAATTATATTATCAGAATTCATTACTCGTAAATTTCTATAAATAAATAATAAATATTATACAAATAATAGAACTTGGGAATAATATATAGGATCATCATTACGATAACTAAGGGCAGGAACATAGATTATGGAGAACATCACAAACGTCGAACCGAGTAAACAGCTTGCATAGAAACCTCGATTCAGTCGATTGTCGATTCGTGATCAGCAAGTTCTTGGAAAACTCCCGACACCGTTAAAGTTAAACTGCTTCATAATCGACAACATGTCTTACAGAGATCTAAGAAGTAAGTATAAATCTATGTACTATAGTATTTACGTCTGCAGTCAATGCTGGGTATACTTAGCTTAGTAATAGCAAGAGTAGATAATAACACATTGTACATAATGTGTTATTATCTACTCTTAGTAATAGTAGTAACTTCCAAGAAACGGTATTGCTAGGGTTAGAATGTGTATTATATTATTGACGTTACTCGTTAGTCGTTAGTCACACAGCCTGGTCGGGTTAGGGGGAATTCTTTTGGGGAATTCTTTTGCTTTGGCCAGGTCACCGACACTACACAGTTACTGTCACAGTACACACACGCACGCCACGCGTTACCTCGGACGCACGTACACCTGACACTGTTACACGCGCGCGTGCACGCACGCAGTGACGCACACATAGTCATTGACAGTATTCAGCACAACGTGTGTATGTGTGTGTGCGCGTGCATATGATGGGTATGTTTTTATGAGTATACGAGCTGCCTCGGCGCTTCGCTTCTTGCTTGTGTACGCGGCCGTACAGACAGGGTTATGGCGCATGCACCAGTCTCGACCAAGTGCATCGAAGTAGCAGCAGCAGCAGCAGTAGGACCCGCGCCAAATATATAAATAGATATGAATATGTTGCGCGCAATCCTCCGATCTAGCCAATCTGCCGATCAGCAGACTGCGCGGCAATCTCGAGATTGTAATTATCTACCGATCGCTTATTATTTATCGCTTTCAACATTGGTAATTACAAGGATTTTCACAAAAATAAATAAACAATAGCAATAGGATGCAATGGTAAAACCAGTCCTGTGCAATCTTATCAAACTCTACTCTCTAGCACCCCAACCCACGCTGATAAACCTGCCTGCAAAATCGTCCACTTACTGCTAATATATAATACTATAATCAGGGATGAGATTCTTCTGCGGATCCGCGGAAATCCGCGGATTTGACAGTCTCAGGGGTCGATTTTGTGAAACGTCTAAGTTTGTTTGTTTCTGTTGATGAGTGTAGTAGATATGCGTGTGGCGAGTAGACAGCGCAACCAAACGCCGAGCGCTATATGGCATAGTAGACTGGTACCGCGTTCGCCACCTTTCTGATCCGGCAATTGGGCGGCGTGGACACTCGACGGTAGGCTAGCGTGTGCAACTGTCGAGCGGTACCGAGTCTGAGTATGCAGCATGGAGTGATAGCATCGGCATCTATGGTTATAATCATGGGAAAAGTTTCTTATTAGTTCGTCGTTTGATTCGTTACAATGAATGACGAAGCCGCTACTGAGAATTTTTTTTCATGGAAGGTCATCTAATTAAAAGGAAAGCTCGAATTTTGTTATGGGCAGACTAACGACTATAAATAAGTATGGGTTGAAGGCAAGCGTAGGATGCAGCGTTGTAGCGACCTTTTGTTTACGATACCGGGCGGTGGTCGCTACGACCGTGTTATGTCGAAGTCCTATGATCTTGCAGGTGCAGACTTGCAGTCATACACTGCATATGTAACAGTCTTGTCGGTATTACATTACATCATATGTGACGGGGGAGAGAGTTGTACTTGGCAAGTAGTTTGGGTAAGGAGCGGGGCGGTGGGTCTCTAGGCGAGGGCAGGTTGCGATACTGCATAGACATGCTGATAGGCGTGAGGGTTTAGGGAAGGTGTAACTGGGGACCGCGGTAAATTTAACACACTAATTCATAATGCGCCCTCATCTAATACAGAAATAACATAAACGATGAATTTCCAATTATTTTATATACAGGGTTATTTTTACTGGCCTATAGCCTAGAGTCCTAACAATATAATACGATGGTAATTGCCGATGTATGTGTTTGTGCGCGTTTGTGATGTATTGCTACGTGGTTCTCGGCTTAGCTTAGTTGACTCGATGGGTAAATCGAGGTGGGAGCGAGTCGCCAGTCTAGTATAGCCTGTGTCCTTGCAGCCATTTCCATTACTGGCAAGGTTCACGAAGCGCGAGAATTTCTCAGTCTTTCTGTGTGATTTTGCGTCACACAGCTTTTCGGTTAGCGAAGAGAGACATTATGTTTTTTAATAACAAGTGAAGGCACTGTCACGGTCCCCAAAGTGTCTACCCTTGTGTCCCCCCACTAAAATTGCGGACTGTTCGCTGGCAGCTATGGATCCGTGCGCCGCCAATTCATTCGGCGCACGATCCAGTAGCTCAGCGCTGCATTACTGCTCTGTAGGACGCTTTCCGCGGGCAGTGCGCCTTGCCGCGGAAATGTGCCGGCAAGATCATGCGCTCTAGCGCTCGGATCAATCAACCGTCCTTCTCGGCAACGCTTTCTCTGAGTATCCCGTCTCATCTGGGTCGTATAACCATTACCGACTAACACTGTTACTGTTAGTACACTAAAAACTAGTAAGTAGTACAGCATAGTAATACTAACAGTGCTAAAATCACTAGATCTATACTCTAAACTAGTCTACAGCTCAAACATTCACAAAAACTGTGTGAGTGCGTCGTCGTACTGGTCTGCTAGGACCTCTACCTTCTCTATTGTAGTAGACACAAGTCTGTTTTTGTAAAGTAGTGCCGGTATGCCAATATCTTTTTCTTATTTTTAATAAAATTCCAGAGTCTGTTGGTGTTGAGCCCTGCATCGTTTTCAAATAGACTCTCTAGATATTTGTTGTATTCTAATTGTAGTATCTCCTTAATTTCTGGCTGAGTCTCTTCATAGAGTTCTCTATGAGCGTCTGTCTTAGTTTTCTTTGCCTTGTTCTACCTCCGTTTCCTTTTTTACATCATGCTTTTAATTTTTCCGGTGATGTATGGAATGTTATTGCTTGTCTTTATGATTTTTTTTGCTACGTGTCTATCGATTGCAGTCTCAATATTGGCTTTGAAAATATCCCAGTTAGTGTTGACGCTCCTCCCTTCTGCCTCTCTCATGAAATTTTCCTTGAATGCTAAGAGTTCAGTCTCGAGTAGGGAGGTGTCTAGCTCTAGAACTATAGCCCTCCGCTCTGCCGCAGGGCTATAGAACATACTATGGCAATTTCCAGGTAGTAAGCAAAGACAACTTTTTGCGCTTAATAACTTCTTCGGTACGCCAAATAAAGCCCATTCTCTGTCGCATAAATGTCTTAAGTTACTGCAAACACTAAAATTAAACTGCAAACTAACGGTTAAATGTTGTACTTGCTATATTACTTGTCGACGAAGATTATTTACAAACTTGTCACCGCCATTTTTCGTTGCGCGGCGCTAGCGCGGTTCTGGGGCTAGTGAGCGGGCACAATGTATTTCCAAGTGGAGGAGTGGGCAGGTTGCATGCGGTTGCAAACCGCACTAGCGCTGCGCAATGAAAAATGGCGGTTTGCAACCGCGTGCAACCTGCCCACCCCTCCACTTGGAAATACATTGTGCCCGCTCACTAGCGTGCCCGCTCACTAGCGAAAAATAGCGGTTACAAGTTTGCAAACAATCTTCGTCAACGAGTAATATAGTAAGTACAACATTTAAGCGTTAGTTAGCGGTTTAATTTTAGTGTTTATAGTAACTTGAGACATTTGTGCGACAGAGAATGTGCTTTATTTGCGTACCGAAAAAGTTATTAAGCGCAAAAAGTTGTCTTTGCTTACTACCTGGAAATTGCCATAGTATGTTCTATAGCCCTGCGGCGAAGCAGAGGGCTATAGTTCTAGAGCTAGGAGGTGTCGTGTAGTGCAGCACAGCGTAGTGTAGTTCAGACTTCTGTATCGTGTAGTGTTGCGTAGTAGTACTAGTAGTATTTTATTTTTGAAAGAGCCCTAAGCGCCTAGACAGTCTGCAGCCGGATATCCGCGCGAAGCGCGCAAACGCCACCTGGCGGCAATCTAACACGACTTCGCTGCCCCCATTCCATCACCTTCAACGGGTTTACATATATAAGGCAAGCAGCAAGTTCGCTGAGTTGAGCAGTTCTGGCGATTGGACGACGGATTTCACTACCCATGTAGCTTGACATTTGCTTGAAATGCTCGTATAACTTTTTTGGCGACTCGGCGCGCTCGGTTTGCTGTAAAAAACGGATTTGCACTTTCTTCTTTGTTTGTTTCTGTT